CACCTTAAGTAAAAGCAATAAAAGGAAAAATATACAAATGAGATTACATCAAACTAAAATGCTTCTTCACAGCAAAGGAAACTCAACAAAATACAAGAGCAACCTACTGAATATGAGAAAATATTTATAAACTATCTATCATAAGGGGAAAATATGCAAAATTTAGAATTCATACAACCCAATAGCAAAAGGCAAACTGATTAAAAACTGGGTAGAAGATCTAAACAGACATTTTTCCAAAGAAGACTACAGGTGGCCAACAGTTACATGAAAAGTTGCTCAATATCATTAATCATTTGGGAAATGCAAATTAAAACCATAATGAAGTATCACCTCACACCTGTAGGAATTGCTGTTCTCAAAAGGACAAGAAATAGCAAGTGTTGGCGAGGTAGTAAGAAAAGAGAATTCTTAGTGCACTGTTGGTGGGAATGTAAATTGGTTCAGCCACTATGGAAAATAATATGGAGATTCCTCAAAATGTTAAAAATAGAACTGCCATATGATCTAGCAGTTCTAGGTACTTACCCAAAAATGAAAACACTAATTCAAAAGGATATCTGCTCCCCCATATTCATCACAACACTATTTACAATAGCCAAGATATGAAAACAACCTAAGTGTCCTTTGATGGATGAATGGATGAAGAGATTGTGGTACATACACACACAAGAATATTATTCACTAGAGAAACAAGTGAAATCTTGCCAGTTCAGGCAATATGGATGGAGCTTGCGGGCATTATGCTAAGTGAAGATAGAGAAAGACAAATACAGTATCATCTCTCTTATATATGGAATCTTAACAATTTAAAAATAAAAGAAAGTTGGTACAGAGAACTGACTAGTGATTGCCAAAGGCAGGGAGGGGTTCACAAGGGTGGGAAAAATGGGTGAAGGGGATCAAAAGGTTTTTAAAAAAAAGAATGAATCAGGGGGCACCTGGGTGGCTCAGTTGGTTTAGCATCCAACTTTGGCTCAGGTCATGATCCCATGGTTTGTGACTTCGAGACCTACATCAGCCTCTATACTGACATCTGAGAGCCTGGAGCCTGCTGCAGATTCTGTGTCTCCCTCTGTCTCTGCCCCTCCCCTACTTGCGCGCGCTCTCTCTCTCTCAAAAATAAACATTAAAAAAAATTAAAAATAAAAAAGTGTGGATCTTGAAATCATTCATGAAGACACTAACATGCCACGAATTGTAGCTCACAGCTGAGAATGTGCCAGTCAGAATTTTTGCTACACAAAGTAAATCTATCTTCTTAGAAATAAAGTAGTTATGCTCTATAACATTTTCTATACATCTAATGCTGTCTTCCTTGATTTTTTACCTGGTAGTGTATCACACTTTTCTTTTTTTTTGCATCACACTTTTTATAGGTAGTAATGTGCTATTGCAGTGAGACAGCTTAAGTGCATTTTAGAGACTAGACTCCTGTATCACCATCCTTATCAATTGACATTTATTGAATTCTGGTACTATAAATAATGTATATATATTTTACATGTAGTGAAATACATGTACATGTTTTCATATAAATTATGCTAAGGCCATTTTCTTTTACATCTATAAGAAAACAGGAGTTCCTGTATAATATAATGGTTTTGAAACTTCATGTCTTACAAGACGATAAAAACAACTCTGCTGGGGGGAAAAATACCCTGCCTCAAGGTCACTGAGAGAATTAAATAATGTAATGCATACAAATCACTCAAAAATGTCCAGGTATGTTAAGGTATCCTAAGGCTGTATTTTTGCCACTAGTATTTTTGACTAGTTTATATTTTTGTACCTTTAAGCATTGTGTAACTTACATAGTTAATTTATAAATGATATGAATAAACATTGAAGATTGACTCGCTACCAAGGATTTTGAGTGATGTGTTGATGATTATGCTGAATGTTAGGCTTAATTTCAAAGATTGAAAAGCATATTTTTAAAAAAAAGAGTGAGACCAAAAACAAACCCCCCCCCAAAAAAAATCTCATTTTAAGAATTGCATTACGGTATTAGTTATCCTGTGAACAGAACATTGTTCCTTCCCATTGTTTTAAGTGTTGGGTGAATATAATCTGACACTGAGTTAGATATTAACTGACACCATATCTTGCCTGATCAACCCGCAGTTAAAATTATGAACCAGGAAAACTAGATGGAAACTAACCAAAATCTCCACATGGGCTGGAATAACCTATAGCTGGTTTCAAAATTATGAATAGGTAACCTAAAAATATTTACTCAGATTAAAGTGAAATCATTGAATATGTCTTCCCAATGGAGAATGGGCTCTAATAATGAAATTCTTTTTCTTTGAAAATTAGAACCACTTAAAATTGAATAGGCCACCTCACAGTATAGAGCCGTCTCTATCAGGGGAAGTGTTCACACTGTCATACTGATGTAACCATCATGTATAAGCATGGTCATTTTCACATCCAGCAGGAAATTAAACCATACAACTTCTGAATGTATTGCCAGTTCTGAGATTTCATAAAATTAAATAAATCTATGACCTATTTCAAGTATGGTTTCTTTTAATTTGGGGCTCTCTGTGTTCTTTTTGACATATAAGATGTCAACTGTAGAATTTTTAATCATAAGCAGTTTTATTCTTTTTTTAAAAATTTTTTTCAACGTTTTTATTTATTTTTGGGACAGAGAGAGACAGAGCATGAACGGGGGAGGGGCAGAGAGAGAGGGAGACACAGAATCGGAAACAGGCTCCAGGCTCCGAGCCATCAGCCCAGAGCCTGACGCGGGGCTCGAACTCATGGACCGTGAGATCGTGACCTGGCTGAAGTCGGACGCTTAACCGACTGCGCCACCCAGGCGCCCCATAAGCAGTTTTATTCTTAACATTATCTACTATTTGATTCAGGAAGAATAATTTGAGCTGTTTATGTCTACAAGGTACTTATTTATCCACTAAAGAGTATACTAAAGATAAGGTCATTGTAAAAAAAAAAAAAAAAATCAATCTTCCTAAAGGGGAATTCCTCTCTTCTAATGGAATAAATAAGAATCAAAAAACATGAAATGGGGTGGTCATATTCCAAAGTTACACTCAGGATTTGACAAGCACATTTTTGCATTGATCATCTTGATATTTAACTTTGCCAACCTTTCACACATCCCTTCTACCAAAGCAAAAAATTTTGGTATACTAATATAATGAAAAAAACATGAAAACTTAAGTCCCAGAAGGAGAATAGAGTGGATATATTACATCTCTTATTAGACTCATTGTCCTGCTTTTCTTTATCTGGTGTCAGTTCTTTTAGGCATATATATATGCCAGTGCTATCACAAGAGCCTAGTGGGCAGTGTTTTCTTTATTGCCTTTTTATGTGTTTCTTTAAGGTTTTTTTGTTTTAAGTATGATATACTTAATGTCATATTAAGACTTAATGGGACCTCTTAAATCTTCTTAATGCAGACAATACAGTGGTGAACCACATAGATATGGTCACTGCCCTGGTTGCACATATAGCCTAATGGAGGAGAAAAACGATAAGTAAATCAGCGGTTAAATAATTATTATAAGTCATGAAAGGAAAAAAACAGAGCACACTCTTAGATAATATGGTGAGGGTGTCACAGGAGAGCGCTGCTTTAGATAAGGTAGTGTTGTTAGAGACACTTTTGAAATAACATTTGAGCTGAGACTTGAAGAATAAGAAAAATAATCTTTTCAGGTTATGTCAAGTCCCTGAGGTGCAAAAGAACCAACCTCATTTACATTTTCTTTCTGTGCTTACTTAAACCATAAAAATAACTGATTTAACTTGCTACTGAAATGGTTATGATTTGATGCAGTTCATTTAAATTGTCAGCACCCCAAAATAGTCACCTCTTCATTTTGTACCTTAAACCTGACCCCTGAACCACTCAGAGTGTAACATGTAGTCTCAAGTTAAATATAACATATTAAATCTCTCCCAGTTTGGCTTCTTAAATTCAGGTCACTTTAGGAGTATTGCCAGTGTATTCAGCAGTTTACAAGAACTGAAGTCCCAGTTAACATTATACCCTGTTCACAGTCCTTCCAGTTGTTTTCCTTTGTTTCTTCTTCCTAAATCTCTTTTTGGCTCTTAGCTGCATGGCTGCATCAAGAAGCTGCTCTGGTCCATGCTGAAATTAGGGGTGAGGTGGGGAAATTTGATGGGATTACTTTGGAATTCCTCTGACTTCCTCTTTGGTGTTTCTCAGGTAATGGTTCTCTCAGAGGCCAGCAGTTATGAGGAAGGCTTTGGTAGCCAGGACAAGATGTGGGCCTTGACCTGCTGCTGAACTGGTAGAGGAGGGATTGGCTTTGTACCTATGACTGGCAGGTCTAGAGAAAAACAGAATACCTGATTCCAGTAGTAGTTAAGACTTGGCTTGTTTCCCTGTTCCCACTTGAAGTTACTGCCTTACAAAGTACTTTTTTTCCTGGCAGTAATAAAAGTGGTAGGGGTGAAGAGAGAACACTGGACCTTGGAATTTCTCTGTGCCTTCATTTTTTTTCCCCTTATCAGTAAAATGAGAGTGTTGGTATAGATGATCCCTAAAGTCCCTTTTAGGTCTAATATATCATGTTTCTCTTTTAAGCCATATAGTTTTGTTTCTGATGTCTGACTTACATAATGTGTATATTGGGAATTATCTCCCTATATATTAACTTGATACATATGTGGAAATGTCGAGTCCTACTGGTTGAGCTGGATATGCTCATTTCAGAGTGCAGGGTTGGATTGTAATTGGAAAACTTTGTACCACCAGTATCTCTTACTACAAGTTTTTTGTATGCTGTTGAAAGCAGTGATATTGTATACCCTGAGGATGAAACAAGCTAACTAAACCTGAGTTAGCCTCCAAAGAACAATCAATGAAAATTGTGGTGAATGACTTGAAGATGTGGTTTTTTATTTTGTCAGAGTAGTCAAATTGTATTGAAATAGCACTGTCCTGTGTATTCTGAATTTTTTTTGCTCTAAATTGGTACCTCCTTCTTTTGCAGGAGCTATTGCGACAATCTGGGTTACCATCCATTAAGTGCTGCTGATTTTGGAAAGATCATGAAAAATGTCTTTCCAAACATGAAGGCACGTCGCCTGGGCACAAGAGGCAAATCTAAATATCCTTTACCAGAATGGTTTTTTTAGTGATCTCTTTAGTAATCACTTATTACAGAACATCTGCTGTTGTAGTTCAACTAGCAACTATATTTAGAAATAAATTTAAGTCAACAGATACAAACAACTCTAAAGCTCTTAGTAGAATAATTGCAAACATTATTTTCCTGGCTATATATCAAACTGCCAGAGAAATAACAAATAGTGGTTTTAGGATTTTGATAGATTTCACCTTGTTCTGTCATTCTTGTGTGTTCTTACTGGTCTGATCTCCTTTTCTTCAATAATAAGAATTAACTGAGACATGCCAGAGTGCAGCAGTAGTAAGTCATATCAATAAAAGTGGAGAAAGATGTTAGCTGTCTTCTTCCTGTAATTTTGAAACGTAGGGATCTTCTTGGCAAAATGTACAACATTCAAGAAAAATTCTTGTGGAATTTGTACTGGAAGATTATATTCTCGTTAAAGTATTTTTCAGCCAACCATTTAAAGCCATATTAAAATTAAAGCCAGAGCATGCAAAATGTCCCTCTTGTGACAGAGAAATGCTTAGTAGCAAACAGAAGGAAATGAAGATTAAGAACTTATTAAAGTCTTTCCTTCTCTTGGAAGAAGATTGTAAAATAGAGGGTCTCTGTATTAGAAAAACATTATTTCTCATTACTTAGCCCTTGGTCTTTTTCAAAGCACAGAAGCTCACTCCTGTGGAGACGAGAGGAAAGGGGAGGGAAGGGGCACTGCTCCAGGTGTTCTCTAGCCGCTTGTTGCATGACCCATCATTGTTCCCTGTGTACAAACAAAAATGTCTTGATGGGTCTTTGGCATGTTACAGGTGATAATCCTGTGTGTTTCAGTGGAAAAAGAACTGAAAAGGTTAAAGCCCTTGTGACACTCTTTAAGAGTTGTTTTTGTCCCAGTGCCCTGGGCTAAAGTTTCCCTCTGGTGTGCCAGGTTTCCATCTGGATATTCCTTTCCTTCTGACCTGTTTGTTGCTGGTGGTTGGCACAGCCTATTAGGAACATTTATTCATAAAATTTATAACAGATGAAAATCATTTTGTTTCATTTAAGACAGTAACATTCTGCAGACTATTTCAGTTTGAAAAGAGTGAAAGTGTCCTGAGTTTATAATATTATGGTTGCTCTTACCGAAGAACTCTGAAAGTAGTTGTTATCTCATGTTGATTGTATTCTTATGTATGGCTACTTCTCAAATGCTAATTATATAAGTAGTTCATTTAATTTAGAATGCTTTAGACCTTAACTGTTTATTACATATTGCTACAGTGGACTAAGGAAAAAAGCCTTTGTTCACATGCCAACACTGCCCAATCTTGATTTTCACAAAACTGGAGATGGGGTAAGAATTCTGCCTTTTCTTTTTACTAAGTAGAGTCATGCCTTATTTTCAGCATTGAAAAGCATACTGCATAGTCTCCTTTTGATAAAACCAGGGACCAGGAACTATGCCTTTTACAAAATATGTAAGACAAAAAATTTAACAGTGGCTGAAAAATGTTAAAATATCTGACTGTGACAACATGGCTCATGAAATTAGGGGTAACAAAAATCTAAACTGGTTTCTAGATACATCCATGATATATATTGACAATAGGTATATTGTCAAGAGGAGAGATTAAGGTGTGGGATAATATATATATATAGTATGAATGTCTTTTTTTTTTCCTTTTTGATTTACTTATATATTTATCTAATACCACCTTGGTGTACAAAAGACTTGGGGTGGCCAAAAGTATAAAGAAGACAAAATATATAGCTAGTGGCATAGTTTGTTTTATTGATGTCAGAAGAGGCTTTTAGAAAGATTCACAGTATCTCTTAGCCTTCATATATGTTTAACAACCATTTAAATGTTGTATTCATAGTGCTGCTGGTAACTGTGCCCTGGTGGGGATAGGGATAGTCCTCTTCTTTGCAAGGCTCTTACATGCCTGCCAGCAGGGCATTTTATATGACTTTGACCCGACAGATATAGATTGCGTCTTCTAATTAAGAATACATGTCTTCAATGTGCTTCAGTTTAATTTCTCTGAGTTTTCTTTTATATTAACTTTTCCTTTTTCCTTCATTTAGTTGGAAGGAGCTGAACCTTCTGGGCAGCTTCAAAATATTGATGAGGAAGTTATCTCTTCTGCTTGCCGTCTTGTGTGTGAATGGGCCCAGAAAGTGTTAAGCCAGCCATTTGACACGGTCTTGGAATTAGCCCGCTTCCTTATAAAAAGTCATTATATAGGCACTAAGTCGATGGCAGCTCTAACGGTAATGGCAGCAGCACCACCAGGTACAAAATTACCGTTAATAAGCTAAAACTGACAGATATTACTATATTTTAGAGTTGATAGCAAAAAAAAGAGTTTCACCAGAGAACTTCTTTCTCTTTTTAGTGTTTGTATGAGTTTACTGTCACTTCACTTAGCACTAAGTTCAGATGAATTTGTTGAGCCAACAAAAATAGTAGTAATTATAGTCATTTCATTGTAAAGCTTAAAGCTATAGTTTATTTTTCTATAGTACATTTCCCTGCTGAAACATGAAACTTTCAAGATTTCCCGGTTGATATTCCATTAATATTTTTATTGCTATTTTAAAATTCAAAGAATATGTACTTTTAAGTATATGTGTGTCTAAATTAATAAATATTAGATAAGATTAAATGTTTTAAATGACTTGCTAGATTCCTTTAGAAACTAATACTTAGGTTATTATAAAATATTATTAAATTTTATAAAATATATAAATTATAAAATGATAGTAGCGTTATTATAAAATAGCAAAAGTGATTTTTTAAAAATATATATTCAAATGAGTATTTTTGTTTAAATAGGGATTTTTTCATTTGACAGTTTTAGGAAGTATTGGAATAAACGACTCTTTCCTAAATTAGTAACAAAGTATCTGTTTTGATGCAATTTTTAAATATCTCATTTCAGTCATACCTTATAAACTTAAGGAAAAGTCTAAGTTGTTATTACTCTAGGAAATTATAATTTCTGCGAAAAATATATTAATGTGAAACTTGTTTTCCAGAGATGATTCTTCTGATTGTTAAGTGTAAACAATTTTAAATCTACAATAGATTCATCCCAGCCAGAATTACAGTTCCTTAAACAACTTCACTTTTTAAAAATTTTAATAGTTTTAACAATTGTCTTCCTTCCAGTTTATGTTTATCAGAAGATTTACATATTTGGGGGAGGGGTGTATAATTGTTCTGTCCTTTCATTTTATTGTCAATTGAGGACTCACTTCAAAATAATCTCTTACCGGAGCTTTGTCATGATTCTCTCTGTCTAGATTGTAAACTGTGACTTAAATCTGTTCGCTTACATATGAGCAGGAGAGTGCTTGGGTAGCCTTACCTAGCTAGGTAGCTTGTATATGTTACCTCATTTCTTCCCTCCAGCAGTCCTGGGAGGCATGTGATATTCATTCCCACTTTACAGATCAGGAAACAGGTTTAAGAAGGTTAAGTAATTTTGTCCATTGCCAGATAAGTAGTGGGACCAGGATCTGAATTCTGATTTGTCAGGTCTCACAGCCCAGGTTGGCTACGTTACTATACTGTCTTCTTCGGGCAAAATGAGGTTTTAAAAGATAATGGGCCCTTCAACTTTCCGTGTTTTCTTTCTCCTGCCTCTACTGATACCCAGATAAGTACTTTAATAAGCTGAGGACTTGGTAGGTATCATGGAACATGAAACGTTTCTTCCTTCCTTATTTTCACAAAGTCTGACTGAGAGAAGTGGTGAATGGATGAATGAATTTTTAAAGCAGAAGTGTAAAGAAAGATGTGTTTTTAAGCAAAAATACTAAAAATTTCATGTATAAATATATGTTTCACTTTGTGAAAATAGCTTGGGAAGTTGTTACTTTAGCAATTAATTATATCATTACTCAGAGCATTTTTAGACTCTTAAAATTTTGTTCTCAGCCACTGCCATATTTTTTAATACCTTTGGTATTAATTTAATTTAATTAATTTATACCTTTGGTAGTGATTAATGTTCAATCGTTTGAAGGTGAATTTGGTTTTTTATAAAAATAGTCTCCATATTAAGAACAGGTTGTGTTACAAATGTCCTTTTTGTAAGTCAGCTGCTTGGAAATCATTCCTGTCCAGAAACCCTGGCAGGAGGGAGACATCTGAGCTTTGAGCCATTGGCAGAGGCTTTTGGGTGCAGGTGCTGAGAAGCCAGAGCTGAGGCTGGGGGCCAAGAGGGAGCAGTACAGTCTGAGATGGATTTGAAGAGGAAAAATTGGCACTAAGGTGATCAAAAGATGAGGGATTTTTGAGGAGTGAGCATGTGGGAAAAAGTTTACAGTCACTTCTTTTTCTCCGTCCTGTTCCCCCTCCCCAAATTGTTGATGAAAAGCAGAAACTAGGCTGGGGAAAGGAAAGGCAAGGTGTACCAGCAGGATGGCGTGGTCCTCCCCTTTGCTCTCTGCTGTTTTTACCAACCACAGCTTAGTTTCTAAAGATTGTAATGCTACACCCTAAATATGAAAAGAGCTTTCTAAAAAATTAAGTGTATCACATCATCAGTCCTTAACTTAAAATTTATCTCTTGCTTGGTTTATCATTCGTCTTTTCTCACTGTTGCTGTTACTACTGCTTTAAAAAGTTTTCTCAGTGACACTTTTTCAAAATATCTTAACCTCAGTTTTATTCAGAAGCTCTGCTTATTTCTCCTATGTCATACTGGAATAATTGTATAGTAACAGTTAAAATAGTCCCTCTTTTTGTAAATTTCTGGTAGAATTAAAGACTTGTTTTCCCTGTACACATTTTTCTAAATATGAACGGTTTCAGCAAATATTTATTGAATACCCCTTGTAGGCTGAATATTTAAATCATGAAAATGCATGAATTTCTAATTAGAGAAGGTGGAAGGAAATTTCTGATATCTGATAAAATGCGAAACCTGCTCCCTTGGCATTTATTTATCTTAGCTTCTGCATATTTATGTCATAGCTACTACTCTTTTCAAAACCTTCATCTTGTTATTGCTGATTTAATTGAAACTGTCACCTCATTTGAACCATATTTTAAGGTGTCAGTGAAAACAGTACTGACAAATGCTTACAAAGTGAAAGTGTAACCCTTATGTTTTATTAAGAGATTGTGAGTTAAAATTTGCTGGTTTTGGTTGCTTTGTCCAGTAGATGGCTACATATTCAAAGAAATTGAGTTGTAACTGCCTTCTGTAAAACAGAGTATTTATTTTACTTTCTTTTCTGTTTATTTTCAGGAATTAAAGGAATTACCCAGCCGTCTGCTTTTATACCTACAGCTGAGAGTAATTCTTTTCAGCCTCAGGTGAAGACTTTGCCTTCTCCTATTGATGCTAAACAGCAATTGCAACGGAAAATTCAGAAGAAGCAGCAAGAACAAAAACTACAGTCCCCTTTGCCAGGAGAATCCTCAGCAAAAAAACCAGAAGGCGCTACAACCAATGGAGTGACTAATCTTTCTAATGGAAATCCTGCAATCCTTTCTCCTCAGCCTATTGGTATCGTTGTGGCAGCTGTCCCTAGTCCCATTCCGGTAATATCATTAAATAAGTGTTTGACCTCACTGGGATGGTGGGAGATCATTTGTTTAATTAAAAGGGGCACATGAGCGGTGCCTAGGTGGCTCAATTGGTTACGCATCTGACTCTTGGTTTTGGCTTAGGTCATGATCTCTCAGTTCCTTAGATCGAGCCCCGTGTCAGGCTCCACACTGACAGTGTGAAGCCTGGTTGGGATCTTGGGATTCTCTTTCTTTACCTCTCTCTCTCCCCCTCCCCTATGCTCTCGTCAGTAAAAAAATAAAGAAACTTAAAAAAATGGTACATAAGAAGGAGGCAATTATAGGTATAGATTCAGTACAAATTGATTTTGTGAGCACAAACATATTCAGCTTCAGTCATTTGTCTTTTAGTCACAGTATACGATGTTGATTACAAAGCAAGGTATATAATGAACATAAGTGAAAATACAGAGATTCAAGACATGCACAGTATGCATACATAACCAGTCAGAGCTTTATGTTAAAGAGGAGTCGTTTTCAGAATTGGTTCATCCCTAGCTAAGCCAAGATGATCAGTTGCAAACTTTTTTTGGTTTTTGGTTTAAACTCTTCTTCTTTTTAACATTCAAATGGAGCAAAGTTGTAATACAAATTGATAAACTTTAATGTAGACTTATAAGCTATGGCTTGCTGGACATAGGGCCTTGGACAAGTCTCCCTTAGCTATTCTGAGACCGTTTCCTTATTAACAAATAGAGATTATAGTCTTCTATCTCACATAACTGAGGTTATGATAAAGGGGCTTTTAAAATGAGAGTGCTTGGGGTGCCTGGGTGGCTCGGTCGGTTAAGCGTCCAGGTCCAGGTCACGATCTTGCGGTTTGTGAGTTCGAGCCCCATGTCAGGCTCTGTGCTGACAGCTCAGAGCCTGGAGCCTGCTTCGGGTTCTGTGTCTCCCCCCTCTCTGCCCCTCCCATGCTCATGCTCTGTCTTTCTCTGTCTCTCAGTAATAAATAAACATTAAAAAAAATTTTTTTAAATGAGAGTGCATCATGCTACAACAAAGTGGTATTTTATATTATTATTGATGGTATTGTTGAGATATATTATCAAATTTGTTTTTCTTATCATCATCATTATCATGTCATTAAAACGTGGTATACCTGGTAAGCATACTCTTATGCTCTTCACTATAGAGAAAATTTGTGGAGGCAGTAGTTTTATCTGAGACCTTATCCACAGTGATTTAATTACTAATGTCCAAGGTAGATGCATTTACAGGACAGTTCCCCCACCGTTCCCCCATGAGTGAGTCATTTTCTTGGCCCAAAGGTAGATACCTTTGTAGTTGCATGTTTCTTCAAGATTTTGTCATCTCTTCCTATCACCTCCTTAAAAATGATTATTTTGGCAAGTATTCATCACAAATGTGAAGTTTTCAGTCTTGTTTATTGAAAAGTATCTTAATGTTTTTCTTACATATTTTTATTTGATAACTATATTGCACTGTGTTGCATCTTTTATAATATTTCCGTGTCTGATACTGGTCTAACATCATACATATATAGAACTCTCGTCTAAGAAAGGAACTGTTTTGTTTTTTTTTCTTAGCATTACATTTATTAATGCCTTCATACTATACAGATACGTGAATTGCTGTTTATATCCTAGACTCGTTAAATCTTACTTTTTTGTTTTCCACCTTTTAACAGGTCCAGCGAACCAGGCAGTTGGTAACTTCACCAAGCCCAATGAGTTCTTCTGATGGCAAAGTTCTTCCCCTCAATGTACAAGTGGTCACTCAGCACATGCAGTCTGTGAAACAGGCACCAAAGACTCCTCAGAACGTTCCAGCCAGTCCTGGTGGGGATCGTTCTGCCCGGCACCGCTACCCTCAGATCTTACCCAAACCAGCTAACAGCAGTGCACTCACCATTCGCTCCCCGACTACTGTCCTCTTTACTAGCAGTCCCATCAAAACCGCTGTTGTGCCCACTTCACACATGAGTTCTCTAAATGTGGTGAAAATGACAGCAATATCTCTCACACCCAGCAACGGTAGTGCCCCTCTTAAACATTCTGCCTCAGTAAACAGTGCTACAGGAACAACAGAAGAATCAAGGACCATTCCACAGATCAAGAATGGTTCTGTCGTATCACTTCAGTCTCCTGGATCTAGGACCAGCAGCACCGGGGGATCATCTGCTGTGGAAGTCAAAATGGAACCTGAAGCATCATCAGATGAGCATCCTGCACAGTGCCAAGAGAACTCTGATGGGACAAAAGCTCCCAAAACAACACCTAGTGCCCTTTTGGGGCAGAAAAGTAATACAGATGGAGTAGTTCAAAAACCTTCAAATGAAGGTGTCACTGAAGTAAAAGCAACTAAGGTCTGTGACCAGAGGACCAAATGTAAAAGTCGCTGTAATGAAATTCCGCCAGGCACTTCAACAGGCAATAATCAAAGCACTATCACTCTCTCAGTTGCCACTCAGAACTTAACCTTCACCAGCACCAGCTCACCAGCTAATGGTGACTCAATAAATAAAGACCCTAAATTATGCACTAAAAGTCCAAGAAAGCGACTGTCTTCTGCATTGCAAGAGTCCCAGGTGCCTCCCATAAAGAAACCAATTGTGGAACAGCTTTCTGCAGTTATCATAGAAGGTCAGAAACCAGGCAGTGTTGAGAAGGACCAAAAGGTTCCACATTCAGGGAAAATAGAAAGTTCAACAGCCGGTGCTCAGATTCCTAGCAAGGTATCAATAAATGTCAATTCACACATAGTGGCAAATCGACCCTTGAATTCTGCTCTCATTGCTAGTGATTCAGCTTCTGAACAGCAAACACCATCATCATCTCCAGATATCAAAGTAAAACTTGAAGGGAATGTCTTTCTTTTGGACAGTGATTCAAAACCAGATGGCAGCTTTAATTCAAACGAATGGCAACAGGTCAGTAAGGATTCTGAGTTTATATCTGCCGGCTGTGAACAACAACAAGATATCAGTGTTATGACAATTCCTGAGCACTCTGATATCAATGACTTAGAGAAATCTGTTTGGGAATTAGAAGGAATGCCACAGGATACATATACCCAGCAGCTGCATAGCCAGATACAAGAATCTTCTTTGAATCAAATACAAGCACAGTCTTCAGATCAGTTACCTCTACAGTCTGAACTGAAAGAGTTTGAGCCTTCTGTTTCCCAGACAAATGAAAGCTACTTTCCTTTTGATGATGAGCTTACACAAGATAGTATTGTGGAAGAGCTGGTGCTTATGGAGCAGCAGATATCAATGAACAATTCTCATTCTTATGGTAACTGTTTGGGAATGGCCCTTCAGAGTCAGTCAGTAACTCCAGGAGCTCCAATGTCATCTCATGCCTCCAGTACCCACTTCTACCATCCAATCCATAGCAATGGCACTCCGATCCACACACCCACACCCACTCCTACTCCAACGCCCACCCCCACCCCAACCCCAACTCCAACATCTGAAATGATTGCTGGGTCTCAGAGTCTGTCCAGGGAGAGCCCTTGTTCCAGGCTAGCCCAGACCACACCTGTGGATAGTGCTTTAGGAAGTAGCCGACACACACCCATTGGTACTCCACATTCTAACTGCAGCAGTAGTGTCCCTCCCAGCCCTGTTGAATGCAGGAATCCTTTTGCATTTACCCCAATAAGCTCCAGCATGGCGTATCATGATGCCAGCATTATCTCAAGTAGTCCTGTGAAACCAATGCAAAGACCCATGGCCACACACCCTGACAAAACCAAGCTTGAATGGATGAATAATGGGTATAGTGGGGTTAGTAATTCGTCAGTTTCTGGCCATGGCATTCTCCCAAGCTATCAGGAACTAGTGGAAGACCGTTTCAGGAAACCTCATGCTTTTGCTGTGCCTGGACAGTCTTACCAGTCTCAATCCAGACATCATGACACTCATTTTGGTCGTTTGACTCCTGTCTCTCCTGTGCAGCATCAAGGTGCCACTGTAAGTAACACCAACAAACAGGAGGGTTTTGCAGTCCCTGCCCCTCTTGATAATAAAGGAACTAATTCATCTGCCAGCAGCAACTTCAGGTGCCGGAGTGTGAGCCCTGCTGTTCATCGCCAACGTAATCTTAGTGGAAGCACCCTGTATCCAGTATCTAATATCCCCCGATCTAATGTGACCCCCTTTGGAAGTCCAGTAACCCCAGAAGTTCACGTTTTCACAAATGTTCACACAGATGCATGTGCCAACAACATAGCTCAAAGAAGTCAATCAGTTCCATTGACGGTCATGATGCAGACAGCCTTCCCGAATGCTCTTCAGAAGCAAACAAACAGTAAAAAAATAACCAGTGTTTTGTTGAGTAAACTTGATTCTGACAATGATGATGCAGTAAGAGGTTTGGGCATGAACAACCTGCCCTCCAATTACACAGCCCGGATGAATCTCACTCAGATTTTGGAAACTTCCACTGTTTTTCCTAGTGCCAATCCACAGAATATGATCGATTCCAGCACTTCTGTTTATGAATTCCAAACACCATCTTACCTCACTAAAAGTAATAGCACCGATCAGATCAGTTTTTCTCCTGAAGATAATCAAGCACAATCAGAAATCGGAGAGCAACAATTAGATTTCAATAGCACTGTTAAAGACCTGTTGAGTGGAGACAGCTTGCAATCCAACCAGCAGCTGGTAGGTCAGGTAGCATCTGATCTCACTAATACTGCGTCTGATTTCTCTAGTGATATCAGGTTGTCTTCTGAGCTCTCAGGCAGCATCAATGATTTGAACACTTTAGACCCAAATCTACTGTTTGATCCAGGACGTCAGCAGGGACAAGATGATGAAGCTACACTGGAAGAATTAAAGAATGACCCATTATTTCAACAAATTTGCAGTGAATCCATGAGCTCTATGACTTCATCAGGTTTTGAGTGGATAGAAAGCAAGGACCATCCTACTGTTGAAATGTTGGGTTAAATAGTGTTTTATAATATGTAGCACACTGTATCTAAAGACATATGTATTGTATTTGTCTTAATGGAAGTGCCTCCCGCAGCAGAAACACTTAACTATTAATTGTGACATTTTAAAAGAGTTTGCTGCAGAAGTGGTTTCTTCTTCAGTAGGAAATGGTTAGACTTGCCTCAGTTCTTAACAAGTTTCTGAAGACAGTAGGCTGTAGGAGAACAAGTATTAGGTTTTAAATTTTATAATGTTGCCCCATGTAATCACATTGTTGGCTAGTAAGCAATTGACTAACCAGCTTTTACAAGAGCAGTCTAGATCTTTATTTTGTGTGAGTTCATTTTAATTCATCAGTTGATCTGCACAGAATGTAGAGGAAACCATTGATTTTAGGTATAGGCTATTTTTTTGTTGTTGTTGGCATTATCTTTTAGATATGAAATCATAGCTAAGGTAAATTGTAGAGAAGAAGGTCTTCCTTGAAACAGGGATAATATTCAGGTTATTATCGGTATTTAGGCTTGAAGCATAGAGCTACTGTAGAATGAACAAAATCTCCGTAGGGCTTTCTGGGACTTCAGTACCATTTGCACCTGCATTTTGAAGGGCTTAAATAGGAGAAAATAATGGAAAATTAAATGTTAATTTAAGGAAAGCAAAAGCTGCACTAAAATTTTTAAAAGGAAAAACTAGTAGCCATTTATATTTGTGACTTTGCATTAGTCTTATTTTAAAATTTAATTTCAGTATGGAGCCAGCACACACACAGAGACCTGCATACACGTGTGAGTGCACGCGCACACACGAGAACTCCAAACATTGTAGAATCTATTACTAGGATAAATACAAGCATGTTAGAAAAACATTTTATGTTTTATTGTTTGGAAATTGAGATAGGGGAATTTAGAAATAATAAAAGCATTTTCTTAGTTCTATCACAACGGCTACCTGCACATATTAAAATTCTATTTAAGATTTAATTTGAAGTTTTTTAATTATAATATTCTTAAGTCCTCAATTTAGTGACTGACTCCTTCACTCCTGAATATAGTAATACATGTTGATCATGGGATCCAAATAAACAGGAAGGAGATGACATAAAAAACAAACAAACATTTCGCCACCTAAGGTCTGAAGCCACAAATCTTTATGTCTCTGCTAAAAGGGACATCAATAGTACTTGAAGAAGAGGAGCATTTTATTACATGCTTAATTTATTTATTGTGATAACCACAATTGCAAAAGAAGCACTCAGGATTTGTTTTAAAATGTTTCTCTGTTTGGCTCCCATTTTGTTTTATGAGTAATTATTTATGAATTTCTTGTTGACACAAATCTGCTCACTAGTCCGCTCCGTTTGCGTGAATTTAGGATTTCTTTCAAATAGATTTCAAAATTGCCATTAAGTTTTTAAAGCTAACATTAAACCATTGCTGTGCTACTTTGAGCCTAGCTAAGCTTTCCTTTACCTTAATTAGCAAGCCAATGAGAAGACTACAATCAATGAATATTTAACAAATGTGATGAAGGGTTTAATTTAATAAGGTTTCATTGCTCAATAAATTTGCAAGGTAGGGTATTAACATATTTTGATAAATAAACGGTGCTAGGGTTGGCTCAGAGGTTTATATACTGATATGTCCTAGTTATTGGCGTTTGTGTGTGTTTGCTGTTATTTGATTTAATGATCTGTTAGGTATTTTTTCTTGATGCTAATTATTTCTTCACTGTACATTGAGACACAGCACTACTGCACACCAAAGTATGCAATACCCAAAGGAAACTGTGTGATTTCTTTTAACAAATGATGGGAGCCTTTCTAGATGAGATACTCTGAAAAGGAGATTTTGAGGCCATTCTAATCCCTTGTTTACATTATTAGCTTCCTACTAATATAAAAATAATGGAAATCTTTTTTTATAAAAATATAAAGACTGGAGGATTTTTAACCCTCTGTACAGTATTGCAGCAAACACTTTAAATTTGGCTGAATTCGTCCAGCAAACTTTCTGGGGTTCATATATTGCACTAAATTTGTTGAACCTGTGGTAGGCACATCTCTTAGGATAAATGCAACCAATACAGTCCACAGATTAAACTTTTTAAATGTGTTTCATTATGAAAAGACAAAATGTCATCAAAGTGACAGATAAAATTGTCTTATGTAGCAATGTGCATTGATCTCAATGAGATATTTCTATTTCTTATTCTCTTACATGAGAATATTACAGCAGGAAGAATTAAGTTTAGTTTGCTTCACCATGTTAATACATGATCACAAAATGTGCATGAGTGTTATTGACTTATCTTGTACAGTACTAGGTATTCCTGTAACCACTTTTTTTTTTTCTTGGCTGTATTGAAACTGGTTCAGTGTTAACCAGGCAAGCATAGTTATTCACGAGTTATTTACTTTTTTATGTTGACTAATTCTGCTTAGTTATTGTTGAATATGTTCTTTTCTCAGATTATTTTCATTGTTTTCATGTTTAAAACATTTTTCATACTGTTTATCATGATAAGACTTCATGAAGTAAATAATTTTGCATATAATTGCAATAAGCACTGACTTTTGAACTGAAAAGAAGGAAAGTGTTTTGTTGTTTTTTTTTTTTTTTTTTTTTTTTTTTTTTTTTGTGCAGTGCATCTGAGGTTCATATAATAGTCTTGTACTATAATGTGCTTTACTACACCATAAATGACAAAAAACAAGCCCTGTTTCATGTTTTCATTTAGTGCAAAAAGTCAGATTTCCCCAGTGTTTTGTTGTCTGTTGTACCTGCTGAAACTCCAGTAGTTGAATATTGCAGTAGCATTTCAGTTCTCTTTTTTTATTGAAAGTGCTCAAAAATTGTTTTTTAAATGTTTTCAAAAACAATTAAAAACATTTTATATTAAACTGACTGGGTCTTAAGGTGATTTGTGGGATCCATCTTACATAGGCAGTGTGCCGTTTTCAAACAGACCTGATGCCATTCTTCCTTAGATCTCATGAAATTCATAGAAATGGATAAAAATCGGCACAAGGCTGAACAGGGCTGCTAATCTTCTCTCTGTTATTAATCCAACAGGATACACAGGTCTGATTTTATTCATCAGAACTCTGCTGTTCACTTAGGATTTATTACTGATGAGTGGTAAATGGCATGGAGCTTTATGTTATCCCCAAACAGCTTTGCTTTTGCTGGTTCACATAATGTTTGCTTTAAAGTGCTAGTCTGTGGAGTACCTAGGTATGTATATTTTTGAAGCTTTGAATAGAAGTATAGTAGGAAAAAAGTGGAGAAAATTCTAAAGCACAAGTGTGCCCAAAGCAGCATCGACATTTTGGTGAGCCAGAAATACAAAACACACTGAACTTGTAAACTGGAACCTGAGCTGTAGGTATGGAATCAGAAAGAAGCATACAGAAATTTCAACTCAAAAAAGGAAGAAGAAGAAAGACATTTCAACTCCTAACTCCCACAGAGTAATGAAACCAGGGTCTGAGATGGAGTTTCCACACTCTTTTGAAATAACTGCATCAACAACCAGTGCCTGGGGCTATATAACTGATATTGTAGCCGGGACCTGAGCCAAACAGGCTGTTCATCCGTGTGATCTGTGACGGCCCCACTAACACTACAGGACTGTAGCCATGACTGGGCAGTTGGTAGAAGCAATTATAAAAGGAAAGAAGAGAGTAGCGATTGAGAATGGGAGAGGGAAAAGCAGGAAGACTCCTACACAAAATGAACCTACAAACCACAATTGTAAAGTACTTGAAGAAAATGAAACTAATCCTAAGAAAGGCAATCTGCACTTAAATAAAAGTAATGAACTACCTAGATGTTGACTTAAAAAATAGGTGTGTTAGGATTCTCAGTAACAAAAAGTTGTTTTAATAAGAGCAGATAAACAAAACAACTAGTGGATATAGTGAACCGATAAAATCTGGGGGAAAAATACTGTGTATCTGAGGTGCTTTGGGCTGCACATAACACGAAACCTAACACTGGCTTCAACCATAAAGACATTTAGCTTAATTTTGAAGATAGGAGGTTCAGGGTCTCATTCAGTGGCTCAATGTTCTAAAAAATGTTGAACTCTTAAGAACTCTGTTTCTGTTGCATTATCTTCAGCTTTGCTTTTCCGTGTCTATTGGGTCATGGTCACAAGGTAACTGCCATACCTCCAACTTTTATATCTGAATACATCCTAAACAAGGTGGTAAGGAGCAACTCCCAGCCTGTACCAAAAAAAAAAAAAAAAAAAAAATCCTTAGTCCCACTGAACCTCCTCCTATTAGATTACTCACCCTCCAACCCCTCATTTAGTCTTGTTGGGTGAAACAAGATCAAAGGTCTACCTGAAAGCCAGTTAGCTTAGATTTTGTTTTTAATGTTTATTTATTTTTGAGAGTGAGAATGCAAGAAGGGGAGGGGCAGAGAGATGGGGAGACAGAATGAAGCAGGCTCCGAGCTGTTGGCACAGAGCCCGACATGGGGCTTGAACTCCCGAACCGTGAGTTCATAACTTGAGCCAAAGCCAGACTGAGCCAGCCAGGCGCCGCTAAAGTGAGTTCTATAACCTGGGAAAGATACTAGGGACTCAAGATCTTGTGCCCACATTAGAGGGGCTCACAGTCTTGTAAAGAACTAATTACATGTTTTTCGAGAAGTACCAATTTTAGATAGATGTGTGTGTGTATCCCAATACAATATGCTATATAGAAGAAAAGGTGAGAATTCACACTCTGAGGAGCCAAGAACAGGGCAAAAGGATGATAGTAAGGACTACATTTAGAAATAGCTGTTTACTGGTCTCCTGCCTTCCCTCTCTGAGTTAAACAATCGGGTATTAGTATCATAAATGCAAATTGCCTAAGCACCTATTATGATAATAGAGCCAAAATTTTTATTTTGCTAAATATATGAAGTAGAGATTGATTTTGATGTTCACTGCTATAAATGAATTTTTTTTAATAGAATGGGATCATTTATCAGTATCTGAAATTTTTTTTAATATGTATA